AATAGGAAAAAATATAGCTCACCAAAAAGTTGAACGGAACCATCCCTCACATATTTCATATGATCGTACTGGTATTTGGATTTTTTCCATAAGTAGATTTCAGCAGTGTTTCAAAAGTAGACAGGTTCACGAATTCAAAAGTGGGTAGGCTTATAATTTTGGCTAATAATTTCAAGAGTGGGTGGTTCCTGATTTACAATAGATGGATTTATGATTTTAACTGTAGATAGTTAATATTTTTAATAGTGGCCAGGTTGGTGAATTCAATACTGGACTGAACCATGATTTTTAGCACAGGATTGGTAATTATTTTCGCTTGAGATCATTTGAAGCAAACAAGTATTTATTTAAAAGTAATATGGGAATAGTGCTCGCTGCCTCAGCAACTACAACATATATTTCACCGAAGTATGTTTCACCCTACTAAATCACGTGTATCCGTTTTGGCCTATTCTTGGTCGAGAAACGGTGTGGGTGTACCCAGTCATATGAGAACAGTGTGGCATAACCACAGCACATTCATAATATGAGAGCGGTGTGGCGTAACCACAGCACATCAACGACCACAATTCTGGCACAAGTGCATTGGTGTTCACCCGGAGAATGGCTTTCAGCAGTCTAGAGGAACGTGCAGTGGATGAACAGTGATTGTTGTGGGAGGGGGGAATTATGACTAAGCCAGAAAGTTATACTTTCGGGCGACAGCAGCGAAAAGACACAATAAGCAACACTTTTCTCTAAGCCTTTAAATACTACCCCTTTACGATTGGTCATATGTTCTGGTCATGTGACAGAGATCTACTGATCTCTCACGATAATACCGTTCCCGTGACTGAAGTCACGGTCACTTACTATTATTTTCGCTCGAGATCGTTTGAAGCAAACAAGTATTTATTTAAAAGTAAAATATGGAAATCAGAAAGAGAAATGTATTTGATGGGCAACAAACTTTGATAATGGTTTATCAACTTACTTTTCCCTTTCTCTTTTTTTTTTTTTTTCTTTTTATAGACCAGACGCTTGTGGTGATTCTGTGGCTTTTCCTAGGGTGTGTTCGTCTGCAATTTTATTTAAAAGTAGTCTTTTCTCCTTTTTCTTTTTCTTCTTTCTTTTTTTTTTTTTTTTTTTTTTTTTTTTTTTTTTTTTTTTTTTTTTTTTTTTTTTTTTTTTTTTTTTTTTTTTTTTTAAAAAACCCATCCTTCCCGACGTTCCTATTTGTGTTGTTGCTATAGAGCGTAGATACACCATAACTGTCTTTGAGAGCCATCCCCCTATTGCCATAATCTGTGGAAGTTTCAGGCCTGCTTTCATAGTGGCAGTGGCACCTCCTATTCTCAGGCTGTGGCTTGAGTATTTCCTCTGAATCTTGGCATGACTTGCGAAGCATTTTACTACTACACTAATCTCTCCTACTGACAGTTTCCCTCCTGTAGCTGACAAAAAAGCTGGCCCAAATTTTGAAATTGCTAGTTGTAGTTTCCTATAATCCCTCCAGAGTTTTACTGGGCAGTAGGGTGAATTTGTTGGTTCGATAGGGATGAATTTCCCTTGTCTATACTGATCTGTTTTGGAATGGTTCACACGGATCCAAAGCAGTTTTCCATCATCTCTAACATCCCTCAGAGAAAGGTTTGCTAGTTCACTCACCCTTCTCATTGTTCTTAGCCCTATGGCGACTAAAGCACAATCTCTTGCTATCATAAGTGTCACGGCTTTCTCTGATGGTTTCTTCATGTACTTCTTGAGTGCTTTTATTGGAAAGGGATCCCTTGGCCAGGGGGCCTCCTTGTCCTGACTAGCTATCTTTTGTAGAATTTGCGCCAACTTCTTGACTCTAAAATCCGTCATTGGGTCCTTAAGCCCACAATTCTGATTTTGACGTATGATTGCCAGTAGTATTATTGATGGATTTGGTGTTATGCTATTTATGTCTTCCCAAATAAGGTATGCAAGAATGGCATTCCTAGAGGCTGGTAGGTGCATTTCCCCATGCCTGGTGCAAAAATTTGTAAAATCTTTCCATATTCTTATTAGCTTGCAGTCGTACGGTGAGCATGTTTCTAAAATTTTGTCTGCTTGCTACAAGAGTGTTAAAAATGGATGTGGACTGCTAGAAATCTCCAGTTTGGATTTTTTGTAGGTTCCAAGTATCTGCTTAGTGCTGGGACGAAAGTCTTCTCTGGGGGTGGTAGTTCTACATAATCGTGACTGTGTTTCAAAAGAACTGGCCACCTGAGGCCAAAGTCCAGATAGGAACTATGATTGTTGACCTTGCTTTGAATTTGACTGTATGTTGAAACACATGCTCCAGTTGGTTTAAAGGGGCGCAGACAAAGTTTACCTCTCCCTTCCAGTCTGCTGTGAAGTAGTCTACTACCTCGGTGTTTGGGAATGTCAACATAAGTTGAACCTTTCCAGATGTGTTGTTCGCTCTCTGGCCATTCTGTCGATAAAGTGGGGTTCCCAAATTCTGTTGAGGTAAAGAAATATTTCCTTGTGAACCCCCAATCTGTATTGTCGAAAAACCTGGTAAGTTCGTTTGCTGGGTTTAAATGACTTGGCACCCACTGAAATTCGTACACCCAGATATCATTTTCGTCGCACAAATTCCACACATTTCTCATATAATCCTTTTGACATGGGGTTTTTCCTCCCTGTTCTATTGCCTTTCTCGCTACTCTGTTGTCGATAAAGATCATTATCCAATGGTGGCTCAGCTCTTTCCTGAAAGAGCTTATTCCTAGGTAAGTTGCTTCTAACTCGAGTTTTGCTATTTCTATATGTATATACTTTCTCTCCCAGTTCCCAAAAGCTTTCATGTCGAACAAAGTTGCTGACCAGCCTGTTGTTGATGCATTCATGAAGAGTGGTAAGATTCTTGACGGTTTCTATGCAGGTCTCCCATTCCCTTTTTTCAGATTTCTAACACCCACTTTATGTCTTGTTTTGCTTGTGAGGTGAAGTTTACTTCGTTGTCCCAATCTCTTTGTCACCAATTCATTGCATCTATTATTGTAAAAAACTCTAAACACCGCACTTTTGCTGGGGCAAAAGCCCAGCTTAAGCTCATTAGCGAGCCTGATACTGAAGCTAGCATTCGCGCCGTCAATCTTGGAGCTATCAACAGAGTTCTTAAAGAACTTTTTACTTTCTGCAACTTGTCATTCTGGATAATTACTTCCCCCTTTACAGTATTCAGTATCAAGTCATAAAATTTTGGTTCTTGTGTCCATTCCCAGTGACCTTTCATATCGTGTTTTACTAACCCACCCTTTTCCATGTCTACAGAAATGATTTTTTCCTTTTGATGTAGCAATACTTCCTGTGATGGATGGGCTATCCAAAAGTCATCTACGTAATTTCCGCAGTAGATTCCAAGAGAACGCCAATGACCTATGAGAGCTCACATCACCTTCGAGAACATCTATACCACTTGATTTAAGCCGAAAGGTAAGACCCGGTAGTGGTACCAATTTCCATGAAGTGGAATCCCAATAACCTTTGCGCATTTTCTTCTATTAACAGGTGGTGGTAACCGTCTCTTAGATCTATTATTATTACCCACCAGTTTCTGCCAACTGTCTTTATAAAAGTTTCTAGCCCCTCGAATCTGAAGGGCGATCGGGCAACGTACTGTTTAGCCTCTTGAGATCTATAATCATCTGCTATTTTTTGGAGCCCAACTTTGGCCTTAAGAAGATCAGGCTTACTTCCATGAGTATTGATAGTCTTGTTGGTTCTATCCATAGCCATTTTATTGCCCAGTTTCTTATCATCACTTCCAGCTCCATCTCTATCCAGTTGACTTGTTCTGTGTTCATATTGTATTGTCTTGGCGTCAGCTGTGCTGCTAAAGGGAGTAGTCTCCTGGAAAATAAAGGGATACCATTTTTTAACCAATCTTTTATCAGTAGTGAGGCTTTTATTTTCATTTTTTAGTATATAACTAATGAAGGGAGGTTGAGTCATCCCGTCACTATCTTTTCCAACCCCCGAGTGTTGTCTGCTGTTCCTAAAATCGTCCCTCCCTAAATGTGTTGTATTTGGGTTAGGCCGGGTCTGTAGTATCTTGATGAGGGGCATCTAGCTGCAAGGTGCCCATATCTACCACAGTTGTAGCATTTGAGCTTTTCATCATTAACTCTTGATTCTCGTTCCCTAGGATATGATCTTGAGTAGTGATATTCCTTTGCATCATAACATCTGTTTGAATCATAGTTTCTGGTCGGTTCATAATAGTCTCTTTTTCCCGAATTCGATCTGCTATTATAATAGGGTGAGGCCTGAAAAAACTGCTTCCTTTCTGATATATCGCTTGATCTCTGTTTTTTCCTAGCCACAGCTGCTTGATGTGCCCTGTCGATAACTTCTGCATAATCAGTCAGTTCTTCTTCATTCAGTTGTAGCAGTTCTATCACTACATCCCATCCATATCTCTTTGCTACCTTCAAAGTTATTATTCGATCTCTCACTTTCTTTCTTATTGTTTCAATATATGTTACTGCTTCATCCATCGAAGTAGAATTTAAACCCAAATCAAGTTCTCTTCCTATGGATCTGAGTAGATTGTACTCACATTGATCTCAAGATCTTTTGAATCGTTCTTCCAGCCATTCTTCTTCGATCTTTGCTTTTGTTTGTATTTCTTCTACCCTTATATTTACATTAATCATGTCCTTCTTTAACTCCTTTATTTCTGTTAGTAGGCTCTTAATATCTGAAACTCCCACTTGCATCCGATGGGCTCTTTTGGGCTCTAAAATCTCTACATCGCTTGATGAAGTTGAAGTTCTTGTCGAATCTAAAATTATATGCTTCCCTTTCCTTTTTTTCTCTCAGGATCGTTCCTCCAATTCTTCTTCCATCATCTCGCTGAGATCTTGGTCATCATCTAGAAACATATTTACTAGTGAGGTGTCTAGTTCTGTTCCGTCTGTTTGTATTTGTGATTGTGTGGTTGATCCTTCCTCCCGTGGGTTCCTTCTTTTTAGGCAGTGGGTTGTTATTCTATCAATAAGATCTGTTTTACTTCCTGTTGTGTTTATTCATAACTTTTCGGCAATTGATCTCAACGTGTCTAGTGTCATTTGGAGTTTCTTACTTCACTCCTTTTTGATTCCAAGTCTTCATTCATAGGAGGTGGTCTCCTGCGCAATTTGCTTTTCGGGTATGTCCTTTCCATATTTTGTGTGCTATTTAAATATTTCCAATATTTGTAGCTTCAAAATGTTGTAGTTGCTGAATTATAACTAAGCCAGAAAATTATACTTTCAGGCGACAGCAGCGAAAAGACACACTTTTCTCTAAGCCTTTAAATACTACCTCTTTACGATTGGTCATATGTTCTGGTCATGTGACAGAGATCTACTGATCTCTCGCGATAATACCGTTGTCATGATAGGGGTTAATTAAAGTATACATTTCTCTAAAAATCTTGCCCAAATGGCTCAATTAGTTAATTCGCACTCGCAGCGTTGCAACGTTCATTTCGGTACCAGCACCTTCCTCCTTTACTCAACGGCAACTTCAACTTTCTACCTTCCAGGCACCACCACGTACAAGTCAGAGTTTTAATAATTTCTTACGAACAAGCAGAAGTGAAGGTATCGATTCATAAGATCGATCCCCTTTTTATTTAATTAGCAGATGACCTTACATCATAATTTGGTCACGCATATTTAACTCTTTAATTAACTTTTAACTAACTTTTTCCATCATTCCATTTTTCTATTAACCCTGATGGGGTTTGGGCCCTATAGCTTAGTGGTTAAGCTGCCAAACCCCCACAGACTAGGTCGATGGTTCAAGTTAGGCTGGAGGCAAAAATCTTAGGATTTTTCACTTTTGTAACCCAAAAAGGGAGCTATATTGAATGCGGAGCCCTGTGGCTAAGTCTAAGTGCAAGTACGAAACTGAAAAAGGAAATTCCTGAAAGGATGTCTAATTGTGGAGCGATGGCACTACGTATGGTACCGGCAATGATGTCGTGTGTCATAGAAGGTTCTGTTATACAAGATTGCATAGATAAGTCCTCGATTAGAGGTGACCAGGGCAGCACCAACATCCACAGCGGTTGGGGTACTTGATTGAAAATGTGTTCGATGATAACAAAACTGGAGTAGTGAGAAAAGTGGTGAACACAAGGACGACTTGTGGTAAAGGATTGGTCTATTCGGAATTGGAAGCACCTCTAGCATTCTGTACGATACCAGATCAAGAAAATGGATTACCTAAATAGAAAGAGATTGGCAGACAACTTGGGGTATGCTTAAAACACGACAAAGAATGGCAAGGATGTACCCAACTGGAAGTAGTAATACGAAATATAACACTAGGAATACCAACATTAGTAAGCACCAAGGGGGGTTGAGATACCCTTAATTTGGAAGTGACACTGTCACGAAAAACTCAGTTGGAAGTTTCGACGCCCAATCCTATGATACACCAATTCGGGGAGTACCTGTTATCAAGACCTGCATGCATATGACCAACATTGTACGAAACCACAACACCAACATTGGAAGTAACCGTGAGGCTACGATTGCCAGATGCGCCTTAATAGGATCTGTAACGGATACTGCACTGAGTACCAAGCTGGAAGTATCCTGTTGTTAGTATGAGAAATGTTGTGAATCTATGGGTAAGAAATTGATTGACTGGGGTAGTACACAAAATCCAGGTCAGATATTAAGGCTCTGGTAGGTTTAGATCACAGATAAAGTAATCTGAGTCTCATATTCTGTAATTAGTCAATTAGCAAGTACATGAGTGAGCAACAAGGTTGTATAGTAGTGTATAAACTTATGATTTAATAAAGATACAAGAGGCATAACCTCACCTTAAAAAAAAAAAAAAAAAAAAAAATATTAACCTTGATTACTACATTATTTATGTGCTTAAATCTATTACGACATTATTCATCCAGTGCTGACTAATTTATATGTTACTCATTTCTCTAGTTTATGCATGATCGATTTTATTAATTTATGTCTACATTACTAATCTATTTATTTATATGCACCCTAGTTCCTTACGCCCCGATCCTCTGACCTATACCGGACATCACATAAATCATGTGGCCCACGTGATTCATGTAACACATTGTTCGTTTCGCGCCTACCACCTATATTCATTATATATTATTTATTTATTTTTTATTTTTTATTTTTTTTTTTGCACTGTAATTATACATTTGAATTGAGCATGCCCTGTGTTATATTATTCTGCCACAGGAGCTAGATCCCCACGATCGTTGTCTTCGAGATCGTAATCTTCATTATTTTTTGCCCTTTGACGCAGCCGTTTAACTCTATTTCAAGTAAGTGGGGCCCTTATTTATGTACCATCTACCTCATTTAAGTAGTGTTATAGAACCGTTTATTATTTTATTAGATTAATATTTCGATATTGTATAATTATTATTGTTATTATTTTATTATTTATTTTATTATTATTACTTAGTCTTATTTAGTTATTATT